GGCATTATGACGCCAGAAACACATCCATTGAACCTCTCTCCTCGCTGCCATCACCACACTGGTGGTGTACAGGAACAAGCGGCTCCCCGGATGTTGGCTAGTGTAACACGAACACCTCTGGCTAATGTTACTTCCCTCATATCTCGCTTTGCCTCCCAGGATGAACAGCAACAGTATTTACATTTTTTTTACCGTAGGAAAGAGGTATACAGTACTTTTATATCACATCCCAGCGGCAGCATTTACCCTTCCTAGGATGTACAACAGCCTGGCTTATTATATATGTATGTATATATATATATATATATATATATATATATATATATATATATATATATATATATATATATATATATATATATATATATATATATATATATATATATATATATATATATATATATATATATATATATATATATATATATTGATAAAATCACACGGGAAAAGGGAAACAACGGTTGATGATGCTTGGGGAGTCAAATAATTAAATAAAAATATATCCGGCCTACGAACGGTCAGTTTGTCTTAATTTACTAGGGTATAACTTTAGTGCGCGGGATAACCTGTATAGTGTGCCAACCAATGCCTCTCTCACTCCCCGTTGTGGTCAAGGTCTGTCTGGCCTGTCATCATCCCAATAGGAGATTATTATATCCAAAAAGTACATCTAACTTACCCTTGCTTAATTCTAACCAAATTTAACCTAATCTAACATAATGTAACGTATTTTAACACATTCAAACTTCCCGTAACCCAGTTTAACTTAACCTAAACCCATCGTCACATCGCCTGAGAAATACTAAACTGTACAGCACATGATGGTCGTGGTATAACTGTAACACTGGACAATTTGTTTGGCTTGTACGTGGTAGTCCTTTAACATTGGACTTTCTGCCCCAGCGTGTAGAGTTTATGGTCCAATAGGGAGTTAGTGGGCGTGTGAACCTTACAGAACCCAGCGCCTCCGGGGTTCAGGGACACGTCCACAATTTCCTCATAATTACAACCACCTGCTGTTTTATCAGGAAATATCCATCTGTCGAGGCCTATTGGTGAATTTGATCTCGCTGAAGGGTTGATTTACGCCGTGTATTGTGTGTATGTCGAGGTAATGAGTGCGTTATTGGGGCGATATTAGCCTATGAGAACAAGAACGCCGCAGACGCCCGCATTCCTGGCGTAACTAGGTTCTTTAGGAGGCGGGAGAAGGAAGAGGGAGGCGACAGGCTGACCCTCCTCCTTCCTGACCGTGCGCGGTTGTTGGGATGACCACAGCTTGCTTGAGGCTGATGCTAATAATGGTATTTTACTTCTTTTTTTATCTTCTATACGATAACTAGATAATTAACAGTTATTTAACCTATTATGTTGATGATTAACATTTGTTTTACTAATATTAACTAGACTAAATTTTTTTGCTAATATTAACTAGATAAATCAATAGTTATTTATTATATATCAACCGAGTGTCAGAAACCTGAAAATCGTGACGTCACACAACAACATTAGCAAAAAATTCGAAAATAAATTAAAAAAAAAAGTAATTGCCTTCACTGTCAGATCAGTTTTGTAATGATGGTTTTTAACGGTAGGGTTTATTTACTTATTTTTAGCTATGGTTAAACTAATTTCTCTCCAGGGGAATCCAAAATTATAATAATTTCTCTGGCCAGAACGTGTAGCCCAATACTCTTTCTCCACCTACCTGTGTCGTCATTAAAGGTAATCACTAAGCTCGTTCACCTGGGTGTTGCATGCATCTGTCTTGCCCCGAGTTCCTACCAAACCTGACAGGCCAACAAGAATAACAAACATTATACCCCAGCTTATTTCACCTGGAGATTAGACACCCCCAGCTTATTTCACCTGGAGATTAGACACCCCCAGCTTATTTCACCTGGAGATTAGACACCCCCAGCTTATTTCACCTGGAGATTAGACACCCCCAGCTTATTTCACCTGGAGATTAGACACCCCCAGCTTATTTCACCTGGAGATTAGACACCCCCAGCTTATTTCACCTGGAGATTAGACACCCCCAGCTTATTTCACCTGGAGATTAGACACCCCCAGCTTATTTCACCTGGTGATTAGGTGTGAAGTAAGATAAAGCTAGCTACATTTGACCATGATATTTAGGTAAGGTTAGACTAGGTAAAATTAGCTTAGATTAGGTAAACTTGGATTAGGTTAAGTCAGCTTGGGTGTCTAATCTCCAGGCAAAATAAGCTTGGGTGTCTAATCTTCAGGTGAAATAAGCTTGCGTGTCTAATCTTCAGGTGAAATAAGCTTGCGTGTCTAATCTTCAGGTGAAATAAGCTTGCGTGTCTAATCTTTAGGTGAAATAAGCTTGGGTGTCTAATCTTCAGGTTAAATAAGCTTGGGTGTCTAATCTTCAGGTGAAATAAGCTGGGGTGTCTAATCTTTAGGTGAAATAAGCTTGGGTGTCTAATCTTCAGGTGAAATAAGCCTGCGTGTCTAATCTTCAGGTGAAATAAGCTGGGGTGTCTAATCTTTAGGTGAAATAAGCTTGGGTGTCTAATCTTCAGGTGAAATAAGCTGGGGTGTCTAATCTTTAGGTGAAATAAGCTTGGGTGTCTAATCTTTAGGTGAAATAAGCCTGCGTGTCTAATCTTCAGGTGAAATAAGCTGGGGTGTCTAATCTTTAGGTGAAATAAGCTTGGGTGTCTAATCTTCAGGTGAAATAAGCTGGGGTGTCTAATCTTCAGGTGAAATAAGCTGTAGTGTCTAATCTTCAGGTGAAATAAGCTGGGGTGTCTAATCTTCAGGTTAAATAAGCTTGCGTGTCTAATCTTTAGGTGAAATAAGCTGTAGTGTCTAATCATCAGAAGATCCAAAACTACACCTTGTTTCCGACGAGGATGGGATTCGAACCCACGCAGGGAGACCCTATTGGATTAGCAGTCCAACGCCTTAACCACTCGGCCACCTCGTCTTGCTTCTATCTTTGACGCGTTGGTTACTATTATGTTTAGCACTTGACCTGGATTTAGGGATGAAGATAACTTTTTATATGGAATTTAGTTATGAATCAATTTCCATCTATGGTATTTCTTGTACAAATAAGCGATTATGGAGATGTATCGCCCTCTCCTCCACCTAACGATATTGCAGACGACAGGACTTTGAATTAGAGGGAAATTGTGGGGTAACAGAGGGAGTGGGGACACTACTGAACCTTAATAACCTCAAAGTCTAATTATACCAAATCAACCAACCACGAGTCGAAATTTCGTCCTATACCTCGCATGACGTCATCTGGCCGGCAGCCCGTGGGAGTGGGACTGACCTCAGCTGGCCGTCGTGGTGTGAGGGTATGTTACACTGCCTGATCAATGCGCCATATCTGGGTGCATATTAAATTACAGACTACATGATAAAAGTTTGATATTTAATCGTTTTCCAAAGGATGAAAAACAAGAAAAAAAATTGTTTTCTTAACTATTTTATTTAATTCTTGTATCCCCCGTAGTAAGACCATATGCCTTTGATTACTTAATTGCTTCTACACTGATAGTCTGATACTGACACCAAAATCATAAGACTACTCGTATGAATAATAATAGAGATGAAGAAGAAGAAGAAGATTGTTAATGAAAATAATGATTGCATGAGAAGTTCAATTGGCTAACTGAAAGATAGTGTGCTAGGGCAAGCATGGGCAACCTTTCCTCAGTCATGGGCCGCATTACGATTTACTTATTTTTCTGTGAACCAACCCAGCGAAATTTATATCCTACGTAACTTAAAATAGGGGCGGATCCAGGAATCTCAAAGGGGGTCCAAAAAGTTGTGGATGGGGAAACATGGCGAGCAAAGCGAACCCACCTAGCTGGGGGGCTGTAAGCCCCCGAAAAAATAAAAATAAAATAAATTAAATCTGACCAGTGTCATGGGGCATTTTGAGACTATTTTGAAGCTATGCGCACTTGATATTAAGAGAGATTCTAAGGTCAATAGTAATTACTTTTTACGATACAAAATGCCTGAGTACAATACTGCACTTAAGAAAAAGTATTGGAATTTTCGTATGAAAAGGGGGTACCGGACCCCAAGGACCTGGATCCGCCCCTACAAAAGTAATGTTATTAGAATTTCTCGATCAATTCGCAGGCCACATAAAGACGTGGTTTGGGCCGCTAGCTACCCATGCCTGTGCTAGGGGATGGGAAATCAGGAAATATGGCAAGAATATCTTCCATTACAGTGGGGGTGGTCTCACCCGGGATAATATACGAGTCCTCCCTCACTACAATTTTCTTCCACTACACGCCAACGACGTCACATACTAAGCTCCAAAACAACGTCACATAATAAGCTCCACCCAACGACGTCACATAATAAGCTCTGCCCCTGCGTGTGGGTAGACTTTGTTTAATTAGACTTTGAATAACCTAGCGGTGTTTCTCAAACGTTTTCACTCCATTCCCCTCATGAGGAACTCTCAACATGGCCCCCCTTCAGTTCTCTCCCAAGCTCCTCACAAATAATGATGAGAAAATAAACTGTGTTGGTCCTTTATTTTAATGTTTTCAGTCATCAAACAATACATATTTTGTTACAGTTCACTGGGATGGATGACAGTGTTTCCTCAGTCGACTGCTTCGAGGTCGAGTCACTGATAAAGCACATCTCATGTCTGGGTCCACAAGTAACAGGTTTTGGCTTTTATTCTTTATTTGAAGGTGGAGAAACCAGATTCACATAAATAAGTAGTAGAAAATGGCAAGAGGACTCGAAGTGTGATCTTCATAGAGGTCTCTGGCAGCAGAATCGTTCCTGAGATCAAGGAATTCGCCCTGAACATCGTCGGGAATGGCAGCAATATCAAGAGTGCCAGAGAAAGGATTCCTCACCAGTTTCCCTTCTTCCTCCTCGAATTCTGGGAAGTACCTTTTGAGCTCACTTTCCAAGGGTTTCAAGTGCTGAATTATTTCATTTTTGAGTGATGGGTCAAGTAGATGATCCTCTTCAATCTAGTCAAGAACAGTTGAGAGATTCTCAAACATGGCAACATTTCCTGCATTGACTTTCCTTTGCCAGTTCTGGAGTTTGTCAATAAATGGACGAATACAATCCATGTGGTGAAACACATTTCTTTCCTTGCCTTGTAGCTTGAGATTCAGCCAGTTTAGCTGCTCAAATATGTCTGCCAGGTACACAAGACGTGGCTCCCACAACACCTCGTTGAAGTGACTTAGTAGATCATCCTTCCCTTTCATTTCCAGGAACAACTTCAGTTCTCCCCGAAGTTCGAACACTCGATTCACAACATTACCCGTGGAAAGCCATCGCACTTTGGGGTAAAAGAGGAGGGTTTCATGCTCTGAATCCATGCCTCTACAGAGGTTCTGGAAAAGGCGAGAGTTCAAATCTCCTGCTTTCACAAAGTTGACGCATTTTACCACTGCCTCCAGGGTCTTGCATCGGGGAGGGTTTTCGACGCCAGTGCGAAACAATGGATCATACAATGAATTCCTTTGGCATTCGGAGCTACTTCCCTGACGCGCTTCTGTAACCCCGATTTCGATCCCAGCATCGCCGGAGCTCCATCAGTGCAGACTCCACAAAAATTTTCCCAGGTGATCCCGTTAGCTTTGAAGAACGAAGTCAACTTTTCCATCACATCTAAAGCTGTTGTGGTAGTTTCAAGCTGTGTACAGAACAGATATTCATCCTTGATGTCACTCAAGAATACATACCTAACAAACACGAGTAGCTGTGCACAGGAACTCACGTCCGCTGACTCGTCCAACTGTACTGCAAACATACCAGTTGGAGACGATTTAATCTCCTGTATCACTTGTTTCATGATATCATCTGACATTTCACTAATTCTCCGTTTCACCGCGTCGTCTGACAAGGAAATCTGCTGAATCTTACGTTCACTTGCCTTTCCAAGAACCCGCTTGACCATCTTTAAGGCACACGGCTTAATTAAAGTTTCATCAATCGTGTAGGCCTTCTTCTTCTTTGCTATTTCAATGGAAACCTCATATGATGCCTCAACTACACTTAAGTTCTGTTGTTGGAAGGCAACACTCTCATCCAGTCTGTTTCCCAAACTCCGTTCATGGCGCTTGAAGAAATCGGGGTATCTCTCCGCAAACTGGGGGTGGATTGTCGTCAGATGATGCTTCAGCTTACTAGGCCTCATAGAATCGTTCCCCAGCACTTTGAAACACAACACACACTGAGGTTTCTCGATGCCATCAGCGAGGATTGATGTAAATCCGTAGTTAATGTATTCATCATTGTACTTCCGCTTCTTAACAACACTGGCAGCCATCGCAATTCTAAGGAAATTAAAAAAAACAAAACAATGACAAACAGACAGAAACAGAATAATGATAAAAACTAAAAATTATAATAATAAAAAAACAAAAATGAGATAATAATCCGTATGGCAAACACACAAACATGCATGAAGTCCATACATACTGTATGTAAACATACATAAATTGCCTATGTAATCACACGTAAAACATACAAATACAGTCCACTCACAGTACACTCGCATATTCTCCTAATGATATCTTGAACAAGACTGAGAACATTCGGTCTTATCACCACTTGTAAGGCGATGACACACGGACCTGTACCGAACATGTGAGATTAGTGACAGTCCAGCGCCCGTCACCCTGCTGACAGGAACTAAAATCTTGCAATCTGAGCCAATCCGTTGGAAATGAAAAACTAGCTGCTGCCCCATACTGTGTAAATATCAAAACTGTACCGTATGGGTATTATGATTACGCACAATGACAAAAAAAAAGATTTCTCCCCTAACAAGGCAAAGTAAAAAAAAAGTTGAATCAGAGTTTCCACATTTTCTCCAAACATATACAACTTACACAGCCTGCCATGGCCCCCCTAAAATCTTGCCGTGGCCCCCTTGGGGCAGTGTTCAGTTAGCTTGGTGCACATGTATAAAGCCTGCAAATGTTGTATCAGTTATATAGGTACAGTACATATGTATGTATGTATATTGTAGGAGAAGAAAAGTTAAGAGAGATTGACATTGTTCATTGGAGTGGCCCTCATTCCTTGGTAGCCCCTATCCTCACCATGACCCCGCCCAGCTGGTTTTCCACCGCAGAACACCACCATCATTGGGCCCAAAATGGATTTACGAGGAGCTAAGCCGAAGGGCGAGGTAGGTGCAACGGCGAGCCCGGACCGTGCTGCTCCGTCTGCACTTGATAGGTTGTGTTACGACCCAAGGAGCCCTTACCCTCTCTGTATGAGTCTTGAAGCAAAGACCACGAACAACCCTGGTTCACCTCTGTTCGAATCATCCCTGTCGCCACTCCCAAAGGTTGGTGGGAAGCCGGCAGAGTAGTGTGAGCCAGTTGGCCACACGGTTACTCCCCGCCTAGGTGGGCTGCTCCCCTGGAACTTGGCTGTGGTGCACCCTGTGTGTGTCCTCAGTGTTGGGACTCCATTCCCCTAGATCAACAGAAGGCTGACCATTGACAGGGAGAATAGATCTTCTCAACCTCCTCTACCGTGTGTACTGTATTGTTTCTCCCTATAAACACGTTTCAGCCGGTTCTTCCCTCAAACACATATGTGGATATGTAACAAGGTGGTATTGGTAGTGATCTTGGTATAGGTATTTGTATACATAGTTTTAAGTGATGTGTACTAATTTCATAGTTTATTGTAACGTAAAGTGTGATCGTTTTTTTCTTGGTATTATTTTACTTTCGGACATGGCGCCCCAGAAAGTTATAAACTACTGAAACATTTAGATCTTGTTATTCTGAGCTTTTTGTTCCCCATAAATACATGGCGGAAATGTCTTAATAGCGATACAGTTGAATTTAATGTATTTTAAGTAGTTTTCGGTCTTCGTCTGGGAGATGTTCTCTGTGCATCACGCATGCGAAATGTTGACCGAGGTATCGTTATTGCGAGAAATATTTTCGTCCAAACGCATTTGATTTTTCCAAAGGAAACATCCCAGCTACGATTTAAATTTATATGAAACTAGCAGACTCGCCGCCCTCCAGGCGGCTCATCCGCTAGGCCACGATAGGACGCCACCCTCCGGGAGGCTCCACATTGTCTCACTGTTCAGTCCCCAAAACGTCTTCTTCCATCAATAGTTCATTAACGGTGTATGTAAGTTTCACCATGCAAAGTATATTTGTATAGCATTAAACTGTTATTATTTTAGTGTCTAATCATCACTACATATAACACCACCCATCATCACTACATATATTATCCATCATCACTACATATAACACAATCCATCACCACTACATATAACACCATCCATCATCACTACATATAACACCATCCATCATCACTACATATAACACCATCCATCATCACTACATATAACACCACCCATCATCACTACATATAACACCACCCATCATCACTACATATAACAACATCCATCATCACTACATATAACCCCATCCATTGTCACTACATATAACAACATCCATCGTCACTACATATAACAACATCCATCATCACTACATATAACACCATCCATCATCACTACATATAACTCCATCCATCATCACTACATATAACACCATCCATCATCACTACATATAACACCATCCATCATCACTACATATAACAACATCCATCATCACTACATATAACACCACCCATCATCACTACATATAACACCACCCATCATCACTACATATAACAACATCCATCATCACTACATATAACACCATCCATCATCACTACATATTACACCATCCATCATCACTACATATAACACCATCCATCATCACTACATATAACACCATCCATCATCACTACATATAACACCATCCATCATCACTACATATAACATCATCCATCATCACTACATATAACACCATCCATCATCACTACATATAACACCATCCATCATCACTACATATAACACCATCCATCATCACTACATATAACACCACCCATCATCACTACATATAACAACATCCATCATCACTACATATAACGCCATCCATCATCACTACATATAACACCATCCATCATCACTACATACATATACACAACATCCATCATCACTACATATAACAACATCCATCATCACTGCATATACACCATCCATCATCACTACATATATCATCACTACATATATCCATCCATCATCACTACATATAACACCATCCATCATCACTACATATAACATCATCATCCATCATCAGTTCATATAACACGATCCATTATCACTACATATAACACCATCCATCATCACTACATATAACACCATCCATCATCACTACATATTACACCATCCATCATCACTACATATAACACCACCCATCATCACTACATATAACACCACCCATCATCACTACATATAACACCATCCATCACTACATATAACACCCATCATCACTACATATAACACCATCCATCATCACTACATAACCCCATCCATCATCACTACATATAACACCACCCATCATCACTAAGTATTATAACAATTCACCCATCATCACTACATATAACACCATCCATCATCACTGCTATATAACACCACCCATCATCACCACATATAACACCACCCATCATCACTACAGCAACAACATCCATCATCACTACATATAACACCATCCATCATCACTACACATTACACCATCCATCATCACTACATATAACACCACCCATCATCACTACATATAACACCACCCATCATCACTACATATAACACCATCCATCATCACTACATATAACACCACCCATCATCACTACATATAACACCATCCATCATCACTACATATAACCCCATCCATCATCACTACATATAACACCACCCATCATCAATACATATAACACCATCCATCATCACTACATATAACACCATCCATCATTACTACATATAACACCACCCATCATCACTACATATAACACCACCCATCATCACTACATATAACACCACCCATCATCACTACATATATAATGAGACAAATCTCACAAGAAGAGGAAGAATATATATAAGTAGGAAGTATAGAGAGTAGGAATGTAAAGATAGGAAACTTGGTAGCGTGGCCTGGATGTTATTTGCACAGCGTCACTACGCTTATCTTATCTCGTATGTCAATACACATATATCACTTCTTAAAGGGACAACTTGTTAAACACCTCTTGATACAACTATTTATTACTTCACTCAATGACATGGACACATTAATATCACTATTATATCGGGGTACTAACACATTATGCTTTACGTTACTTGACACTGACTCTCGGACACACCTGAATGAATACACTTCCCACAGTAGGTAACTCACCCTAGGACGTTCTGACAAGACTCACGTGTACCCTGACGTAGGCCCAGTGAGTGCTGGCTGGGCTGCCTCCTATGGGAGAGTCTGCTTAGCTGGCGATGCCGTGGTCTGGTCGGGAGGTCTCCCTCCCGACCTGGGGAAGGGACGTGCGTGACTCTGCTTAGTGAACCGAGTGACGACCCGAACGGGAGGGGGATGACAGCAACCAGAATGAGAATCAGTATGACCAGAATCAGAATGATAATGATAATCGAATCCCTGTGGACGGGACTGTAGGGCCTTTATATGGGGTCGGCCCAGCCGGCTTCTGACCTCTAACAATTACCACTAAACTGGTTTGATCTGGATAGTTGTGTGCAGGTGTGGTCCTGGCCAGGTGTCTTGGCTAGGTGCGGTTGTAGGTCACGGCTCACGTCATTAGCGGGCGAGGTCAAGTCCCTTGGGTCGACCTGAGGTGTGTCAACCCGGAATGTGGTGGTACCACGAGGTCTGCAGTGCTCTTGCTGTTATATGCGGCATAATTCTGGGCTGTAAGGTTTGGTCTGACAATCACTCATTACACAAATAACACCACCCATCATCACTACATATAACAACACCCATCATCACTACATATAACAACATCCATCATCACTACATATAACACCATCCATCATCACTACATATAACCCCATCCATCATCACTACATATAACACCACCCATCATCACTACATATAACACCATCCATCATCACTACATATAACACCACCCATCATCACTGCATATAACATCATCCATCATCACTACATATAACACCACCCATCATCACTACACATAACATCATCCATCATCACTACATATAACACCATCCATCATCACTACATATAACACCACCCATCATCACTACATATAACACCACCCATCATTACTACATATAACAACATCCATCATCACTACATATAACCCCATCCATCATCACTACATATAACCCCATCCATCATCACTACATATAACACCACCCATCATCACTAC